GACGGCGAAGCCGGGCAGCGGAGGTTTGCTGATGAGTTTTAGGCACTAACGTGCAATCTGTGATAGGAAAATAAGCTGGACTCGACTAAAACGCTACAACTCTGTCACTACGCTGCCACGACAATGAAACGTGAAGCTAGAGGCCAGGAGAAAATCTTGCCAAGAGGGAACTTCTAAAGCTCAGCAATCAGGAAGAAAAGACTTACTTATGCACCCAGCAACTGGGGTACAGGCCAGAGGTGTGGGGGGGATTAAACATCAAAAGAGGGGTTCAGTGCCTTTGGGGTGTGGTTTGCTGGGAGGGTGACACCCGCCTGGAGAAGGCCCCCTGGCGCCCCGCCTGTCACAGCTTCCCCCTGGAAGGGGCCCGACTCGCGGCCAGACAAAGCGGTCACTCAGGCAAGAGGGCCACAGTGACGTCCGGCCCCAGGGGTCTCGGACAAGAGGGCCCAGGCCAGGGTGCCCCAGCTCCCACTGCCCGCTGGCAAGAGCCGAGGGGCTCAAAGGCAGGGTCGCGGCTCCCCAGGGCCGGCTCCAGGAAGGCTCGGGTGGGGGCAGCTCCCCAAAGGGCCCCCCCGGACCTGCCAGCAGCAGCCACAGGGCCCAGGGGCCTTGGCACCCGGCTCCAGGGCTGGGCAGGCCCCACACCGCCCACGACGGCCCTCCCCAGGCAGGCTCTGCTCCCCCGGTGCCACCCCCAGGCAGGCTCTGCTTGTGGCTGCCACGGGGGGGGGCTGCCCCCCCCCAGGGCTGCCCCACGGGCACTTCGGGGAAACAGCCACCTCGGGCAGGAGCTACCGCCCACGCGGCCCAGGCCCCCCACGGACCCCCACGCCCACGGCCTGAAGGGCCCCTCCCGCCCACTCCCTCTCCTGCACCGCCCCTCCATGGCCCAGGGCGCCCAGCTGGGCCCGGACCCCGCCCCCGGCCCCCCAGCGCGGCCCAGCGGCCCCTGAGGGACCCCAGGCCCTGGAGTCGGTGCAGGTGGCGCGGAGATGCCCCGCCCCCAGGCCCCACACGGCTCGGTTTGAGGGGCGCCGGCAGAGGGGATCCCCAGTGTGTTTCCACAACTTTTGCTTAACGAAAGGGCCAGAGTTCACCGACTGGGATGAAGAGATGTGGCCGATTTTGTTTACCAAAGGACTTGGGGAGAGAAGAAGCAGCTGGGTCTGGGTCCTTCTGCGCTGAGATGAGCGCTGCCGCCTTTCAGAAATCCGGAGGCAGGAGGGCGGCACCTCCCTGAGCTGCCTCGAGAGCACCCCGCGCCCCCACCCCACCCCTGCGTCCCCACAGAAGGCCGCGGGCCCGAGCCACAGCTGGGCGCTGCGCTTGCGGGTGGAGTACATGATGCTGAAGTCGTTCTCGCCCGCCCTCAGCAGCCCCTCGT